CTATACTACCATGTAGTCTTTCATGGTAATCTTTATTGAAAGAAGTTATAATATCAGTTCTACTTCCGATTCTTGTGGTTTGTTTACATATTTTTCTAGGTCACGATATGAGTTAACATTCGCTATTCTAAAAATAGATTCTGACTCACCTGCGATTAGGGGGTACACATTATACATGTAATAAACCAGCGGATACTAACTTTGCTTACATGCAATACTTACAATTGTAAGAAGCAAACAAGTTGAAAATGGAATTTAGTGTGAAATTGAAAACTTGACAGCTTAACTGACATTTAAATTAAAATAAAAACGATGAGCTCTGGCCTCTACATCTATGTATATTTTATTGTCAATATGCCCACTATGATATAACACGATCAATTCTAAATAACATTCTCACATGTATAATGTATTATGCTTGAAGTTAATTGCATGGTTTTATTTTAGAAATATTTCGTTGACAGTTTTTTTCTATTTACATATCATTCCTTGGAAAAAATCGATAAGGACACTGATTTACAAGTTTGACCAGAGTTTTTAGGCATAAATTTCATTCTGTATAAGTAGAAAATCTGATTTATATCAGATTGGACACATAAAATATATTGCTCTACAAATCTCGAACTTGTATGGAACAAATTTTCTCTGTTATATCTTTTGTGTTTTTTTTTGTTTTTTTTTTTGTTTTTTCTAAAAACCCTTAATGTCTCTCCGGTTGCATGTCCGTCGCATTCAGTGCTGCAGCACTTTGATTTTCTAGGTCATACTGCTAACCTTAATCTACAAGACACACTATGGTCACAAAAAGACTGAATTTTCATGCATTAAAAATAACTTTCGAAGCAATTTAACAGACTGGTACATCTAAAGGGCTTGCCAAAACAATCACAAATAACTGATAAAATATAAATGTTTCCTACATAATGCAATTTCATCAGTAAATAACATTCAGCCTATCAATACAAACATCCAAGACTTTTTTTAGACTCAATATTACCATGGTAACAGAGCATGGCAAAACTTCAATTTAGTTCTTGGATATGATTTAGATCAAAGTTAACAAGACTAGGGAAGCTCAATAAAACACTCTCCTAATAAGTTAGAACTATTTCACTCTTTTTCCTTTAAAATTTCTGCCAGCCCTTTAAAAGCCAGCAATCATTTATTCATAGTAAACATTCTTGAAAAGCAACATGTACAATTTTCTCAAAACACAAATAATAATGAATATACAGATACCAGGCTTTATGATATAATATACAAATTGTTTTGCAAGTTCTAACTTAAGATTAAGGTTCCCCACCCACCAATTCTTGTAATTCCTTTACTTTTGGGTTGCAATTTAAGTTACACAAACACTGTAAAATTCAACTGTGCCTTAAAGACTGCAAGTGGCCTTCAGTATATCAATTATAAAGTATAACCACCAACTACAACAGGCACAAGAAAGGACCCCAGTAGAACCACCGACCACAGGCACTAGGGAGGACCCCAGTAGAACCACCGACCACAGGCACTAGGGAGGACACCAGTAGAACCACAGACCACAGGCACTATGGAGGACCCCAGTAGAACCACAGACCACAGGCACTAGGGAGGGCCCCAGTAGAACCACCGACCACAAGCACTAGGGAGGACCCCAGTAGAACCACAGACCACAGGCACTAGGGAGGACCCAAGTAGAACCACCGACCACAAGCACTAGGGAGGACCCCAGTAGAACCACAGGCCACAGGCACTAGGGAGGACGCCAGTAGAACCACAGACCACAAGCACTAGGGAGGACCCAAGTAGAATCAACGACCACAAACACTAGGGAGGACCCCAGTAGAACCACAGACCACAGGCACTAGGGAGGACCCAAGTAGAACCACCGACCACAAGCACTAGGGAGGGCCCCAGTAGAACCACAGACCACAGGCACTAGGGAGGACCCCAGTAGAACCACAGACCACAAGCACTAGGGAGGACCCCAGTAGAACCACAGAACACAGGCACTAGGGAGGACGCCAGTAGAACCACAGAACACAGGCACTAGGGAGGACCCCAGTAGAACCACAGAACACAGGCACTAGGGAGGACGCCAGTAGAACCACAGAACACAGGCACTAGGGAGGACGCCAGTAGAACCACAGAACACAGGCACTAGGAGGACGCCAGTAGAACCACAGAACACAGGCACTAGGGAGGACCCCAGTAGAACCACAGAACACAGGCACTAGGGAGGACGCCAGTAGAACCACAGAACACAGGCACTAGGGAGGACCCCAGTAGAACCACAGAACACAGGCACTAGGGAGGACGCCAGTAGTAGAACCACAGAACACAGGCACTAGGGAGGACCCCAGTAGAACCACAGAACACAGCACTAGGGAGGACCCCAGTAGAACCACAGAACACAGGCACTAGGGAGGACCCCAGTAAAACCACACTTGGCAACGTGGGCCAATGACCAAGTAACTACAAAATATTCAATATAATACAATTTCTTGTTAATAAAGTTACAAACACTGTTTAATCATTCATTAGTCAATTGCACACATTATTAAAACATAGTCTGGTGTTATTTAAAGTGGAACTATCCTAAAAGTGCAATCTATTTTCCAGGAAGCAAGGTGGCTTATTAGAAACCTCTACATGGTTCATGTTAGATAACAAGGGTACATACCATACAAAATAACAGATTTCTGAGGAAATGTTACCTTGTGCCAGAAGATGCCTAAATTTGTACAGTGGATTTGTCTAATATTGTTCATGAATAAGCAGTTTCGAGATTTCAGAATTTTAAAGTTGATCAGCCAATAGAATTAATAGCCTGACTGACTTGGCTCTATGTTGGTATGACAGGTTTTCAGCAGGTATAGGGTTCACAAAATCCTAACAGCTACATACAGATATTTCTCTCTAAAACTCAGAGAGACAACTGGTGACATCATAAACATAGACAATTTACAATTCTGGGAGAACTTTGATGGCTTCAATCACTAAATCTCTTAACAGATGACAAAGATCGCAACATAAAATGTCCATTAATTGACATCCTGATCTGCCAATAATCTAAACTCTCAGGTGATACCCTCATAATATATATTACATATACAGTGTATATAATTTATATCTATATATAGATGTAATATATTATAACTAACAAGCAAAGTCATTATCACTTAATTTATGTACATACATGAAATGTGATCAACTAACTTATATTTTATGTTAATCCTTACTGTTCTGACATCGTATTTTGTAATTTCCTTTACTTGCTACCTTGTAATCTAACACAAAACTAATTTCAACCCTTAAAGTGCCAGTGGCAACAATTTCTACGCAAGCCATCAGTGCAGACCAAGACCAGCTGACATGTGTCATGCCGTTCCATCATTTTCTGCACTGCATTTCCCACAGTACATATTTGAAAAATTTCCCTAAAAGTAATGAATGGTTATGTCCAAACTGAAAGACGGACAAGTCCATTTACAATATTTCAGATACTGATAAAGTTAGATTCCACAATTGAATAAGAATCTGAATTCTGTTCATGTAACCAAGTAATTGAAAAAGCAGAGGACAGTGATGGTTTTGTGGCTTATGTTTTATCATCAGGTGCCCTTAATCTATGTCACAAAGTCTTGTCAGACGTTCAATAAAAGAAAATTTATACATCAATCATGTAATGTATCAATAGAATATAATAAATTGTATTAAACTGACACTGTAAAAATACTAAGGCCACCATGGAGGATAAGTCATTTTTTTTTGGCTTGTAAATTTGAGTCTACTTTTTATCAGAAGAGTTTCAAAATATGTGATATTTCGATGCAGGCTAATGCTGTACTGAACTGCTCTGGGGTAGGGCAATTGCAGGGGGTAGGTGGTTCCAGTGGTATACCGTCCTAGAAAAGAATGAGAATTTATAATAATCCGAGGTTGCTGTGAATAACTTATAACATAAGGGATGGCCATGGCGTGATTTTCGGGAGAGGGGTGTCAAATATTCTTCAATGGGGACCATGGTGAATCTTATAGAAAATGGATAACTTAGCATCAATAAGTCTGAGTTCGAGTTTTCTAAACAGAAAGTGAAGCATGTCCGTGACGCTAGAGGTCTGACCATAATATAGCTTAATCAATCTGGCTGCTCTTCTTATATTTATTTTATATACACAAAATGAGGATTGAATCATTGATATTTCATTTTGAGAAGGGATAGGATGGTACAATGTTAAATGTGACTAGCACAAAACAACACTCCATGATGCACATAAAATTATTTTTTTCCTTACATTTTCAGTGCTTTTAATTTTTTCAAACTTTTCTTATTAGTCAATGTTGGCTAAATAAAACTTCTAGAGCTTTATTCAGATTGGTAATCAAGTCTAACCTGATATGTGTTAAAGTATATACTTCCTTACCAAAAATGGCATGTCATTCAATACAATAAAACGTACCAGCATGGTGTCATTTTAGAAGTTAAATATGACATAGTTATACCCATAACTGAAATCTGTCACCACATTATAGCTTGATCAATATAAAAAATATTTTAAGTCCAAATATGAACATACATGATGAAATACTATATTTATAATGAAACAAAACACATGTCACTGTGACTGGACAATTTTCCAAGAAATCTCAATTTTACCTGCTACACTTGATTTCTTCATTTTCTCCATAATTTTACTCTTTAGATATTTTGTTGGCTGCATCCAAGTAATCTACATGCATTTCCTTGAAAGTTTTCTAAATAAATTCCAATTGTCTTCACTTCAAAGCACTTAATTTCAGTCAAAATGTTTATAATTTAGTTAGGTTCAAGGTCTTTATCCAGGAGATTCCCACCCATAATTCTTTACACAGCCTCACTTTGGACTCATTCAGAATCCTGTTACTATTTTAAGATATAAATAAATGCTATAAATAGAATATGTGGAAATATCTCAAATGGGATATTCCATTTTTGCTTTTAGGTGTGTAGAAATGTAAACAAATTTACTTACATATTCTAGGGCTTGATGGAGGGCTACAACTTGACTGAAAATGAATAAAATGATTACATTTAAATGCAAATGCAGCAACTGGAAGTTTCATAAGTAAAATGTGTCTCTATGTAGTGTTATTTACCATTAAGCTAAATATAGTAACAACAACAAATTATTCACAGTAGAAAATGTATTGACTAAAAAAAAAAAAAATTATAATGACGCATGAAAAATTCTGAAAAAGCTGAATAAACTAATATTGATTCTACATCAGTGTTGAGTGTTGACCTGATACAGCAAATTATTACTTGATATCAACACATAATATTGTCTTTTACATGATTTTTATATAGTACTGTATGATATCGCATTGTGATATTTGAATTTCCTAAGCATAGAAATTTATCAGAATTAGGGTATTAACAATTAACTGGTTCTTAAAAAGTTGCGCATGTGTTACTGTTAGTTGGAAATATTATGTTTGACTTGCTTATAAAAGACCGAACATGACAAAATATACAGTTTAACAAGAGTAACTAATATTATGAAGGTGATTGCGTAAAATTATAATATTATCACTGAATATAATGATTTACCTGATGTACAAGGACCTTCTTTTGACGCATGTGTTTCGAGTCAGAGTTTGCACGAGGTCGGTATCGGTTGTGAAACTGGTCAACTCCAGTCGGTGGACCGGACTGGTGTCTCTGCCTTGAACTCGGAACTTTCAGTTGATCACCGAGAATTTTCCCCATTAACGAGTCATCCTGACTCCCTGGGGGTAATGTTACAATATGATCGTTATTTCTTAAGGCACTCAACTGTGATTCGTCCATGGATGCGTCCATTCTAGCAGCTTGTATAGCTTTCTTATTTGGTTTCTTAATACCTGATAAATCTGATTTTGAGCGAGGTCTTATTGAGTCAAAAAAGTTTTTAACTTTTGATGAAGTTGACGGGGAAGTTCCTTTCATATTTTCTTCCCCAGATTTTTTTCTGGCTTTGTCTTTTGAAAAAAGTCCCCTGATTCCCGTGGATCCTGATCTTGGTCTGAAGTCTCCGTCCACATTGTCCACTGACCCGTGATGACCGGGAGACACGGGAGATGACGGGCTGTGATCTGACTCCATCAACGGCATGGCTATTGCACTCAGATCCTGAAATATATAAATTAGCAATGATTATTAATGAATGGGAGGTAAATCCACCTGACTTCAAATACTATTTGCGCATTTTTCTATTAAGAGTTATCTCCTGTGACTTTTTGAGGAATTGATACAAATGATTATTTCCACACTTTTTTCCCTTTTGGATACATTTATATACAGAATTATGGTCACACTTGACATTTGACTGACTTCAGTATTGTTATACATGTATCACATTTCTTGTGTAATATCAGATATCTTCATGTAAGTTTCACAAATGAGGGGAGAAAAAGGCGAGATCAATATTTCAAATTCTCCTGGCCTCGTGCACCTCGGCACAACATCTTCATTATCTGTTTCAAGGGCAGATGTTTTGTGTGGTAGAACTATAAACAACTGCTCTACAGTTCAAGGTTACAAAACAATATCATATTTCAACATAAATCAAATTACCCATAGGAGAATTATTATACTTTATGATTTTTATTGACAACATTATTACCTTGTTTTTGAGCAAGTGAACCATTGTTAAAAAAAACAAAGTAACAAAGCACATTAAAAACCTCACCGACTTTCAATTTTAGCAGTGCAGAGCATCTCTTGATACTCATTAAATTTAAGAGAAAAAAAAAGATTTCCTCCATTACGTGCAACCTTTTTCTAAAAGAGAAATTAACTTTGTTCAGAGAAAAAAAATCATTTCCAGATAATATTTTCATTTGAAAATCTATTTAAGATGTCAAAAACAAAAAAACTCTTTTATTATACAATAATACAATTCATTAAAAAAAAGCTATTTCAAAGAATGTAGATTTTGATAGGAAAAACTATGTACACCCAAAAAATTATTATTTTAGGTGGAAGTTTATAAACATGTCATAAACAAAAAGGTTTATTTACTATATAAATAGCTCAGTAAGACAAAGAAATATTCAAGCTACTAACAAACACATGGCATATCTTTATACCGATTTGTTTATGGTTAATATCAGAAAGAACAATTATTGGTGATAAAATTGAATCGGTATCAAATCAGAAAAATATTAATTAAATAAGGGTGGTTTACACAGCAAAATTTTAATAGAACAATATTGTATTGATGTATTATCAAGGTTATTTGGCAACACTATTGCAGGATTTTGTAACACAATGATGTCCTTACATCAACACTGTTCAAACAAGAGCAAATAACTCTTTTGCACCAAATATTAAGTAACTGTTCCAACTAACTTTCTTCAAGTATCTAAGAGGCATATAAAGGAGCAAGTAACTCTTTCTCATACTCTGTCCATAACTCTTGACATAATTATAATAATTTAAATATCATATGATATGGAAATATGCTAGAAATTTACTCATTCAATGCAATAAAAAGCAAAATCATAAGTCCTGAGTAAGGAAAAATAATTTTAATTTTTAATTAAAACAGTTCAGTTTTTAAAGCAGCATACCTCCAGATTCATGCTAATTTTCATAAAAATTTGAAAATGTATTTAACGGTATAATATTGTAAAGTTACCAAAAGAATGTAATTAACACATTATCAATGGCACTTACAACCTATGTAAATTACTATAAAGGGGTCAAAATAAGCAAAAATAGTCCCTACTGCGGTAGACTCTGCGTTAGTAACGCAATAGAAATATAGTTACACATACTGAAAAATTCGGTCATTAATAGCACATATATAACATGTAAATTTTTACTAGAATTTTGAATCTTTATACCTTTCCTAAAATCTTAGTACACTTTTCTCAGATTTGATTTTACTAAAATATTTTTGCTCATTTGGAGGCGTGCAGCTTTAAAGTACCATCAACTAGATGAAAAGTTTTGTTCCCACTCAGGTGTACTACAAATGTTTGTATATCCATAACAGCTAAAAAGGTAACTGCTGCAATAAAATGGATACAAGCGCAAACTTCTCTCAGCACAATCATAATGAACATTTTAAATTTGACCTGCCAGCAGATAAAAGCTGCAACAAGCAGACGACCATAAGTGTCGGTTGCTTCCTGTCAATGCTATATTAAATGGTATAACATATATGACATTGCAATCAAAATTTTTTAATCTGCAACAATGGTTAAGCTACAAACAAGCTTTTTAAGAACATGTTCATTTTTAACACATACCCTGCTGGATTTTGTAAATGGACTTGTCTTGTGCTTCCAATTTGGGAAGTACCATTATTAATTTTAGGGATATCAAGATGACACTTGGGTAAAGAGTCTAGTCAGAGTATAGTCTTGATTGGTAAAATAGTAGAAACCCCACTTCAGGACTCAATCAGCCATCTTAACAATACAGTTATGGATGACTTGATACTACTGTATTCTACAATAATGAAATGTATATCTGCTCATCACAATGACTCTCTCAAGTCTTATAAATCTGACAGATTGTATAGTTATTACTCTTTCTACACCATTAACTTTTCTCTCCTTTTCTACAGTTCATGCATTCTGTACTTTATTTTGCAATGTGCCTTTCTTTATTATCTAATCATCTAATACTCTTCTCCGATTTCAAACTTATCTGTTTTGCATTCAGTGCAAAACCATTCAAAATTTTGTGCATCATCTTTGTTAAAATGTACAACAAATATAGACACACAACACCAATTTGGGTTGTGTTTGCCTGCTCTTTTCATACAGTTTATTGAAAAGATAGAATCTACAGATAATCTGTAAACAAATACAGGATAACACAGTCAAGTTTTGTGTACTGAAAGTAGGTCATTATGACTCTAGGTCAATTACAGGTAAAATTGATAACATTTTGAGGGATTTTACTATTAAAACATCTTGAATTTTTTTTCTTTCTAATATTTGCTTGCCTCATTATCAATTATCTTCTATTATCAATTTTAAGTTAGATTATAGTTAACATGTATTAAGATGTAACAAAACTTTAAACATACAAACTTACTGACTAAAGGACAAAACTTTAGTTTAGACACAAAGGAGTTATAATCTAAGTACAAGTAATTAATGTATTGCACACTAACAATTTTTATATCAACAAACTTCACAACATATGAAATGTCTGCAACAATGTGAAACACAAATTTTTATATTTGTAGTTGAACTGACATGATTACATTTAAAATTACAGACTAACAAATCATATTTCTTCACAGGTTATATGATACAAACACAAATTGTTGGTAAACAAAATATAATATTTATTATAAAGTTGATATCCTTTTATAAAATTAATATCCTTCCACAATCATTGTCTCAGAGTGGTGTTTTCTTCTTTAATTATTTGCCTTTGCTATCATCTGCTGCTATTACACAGCTATGCTACATGTATATTAACTTTCATTACACAGCTCTATTTGCTTCTTAGAATCAAACAGTACCTTGATCTCCACTCCAGAAAACTCTTTTTTAATGCTTATATTTTGCCACATATTGACTACTGTTGCACTATTTGGGGAAACTGCAGTAGTGAATTACTTTCGCAAATTGTCAACTTTCAAAAAAGAGCTGCAAGAATTATTTTAGACAAAAGTTTTGATACCCCATCAAATATTCTATTTAAAGAATTAAATTGGATGTCCTTTGATCAAAGAATTATGTACAAAAAGGCAATCCTCATGTATAAATCTATAAATGAACCATCCTTTCCTATTTATATGAAAAATAAATTCCAAACAATAAATGACAAACATGACTTTAACTTAAGATCTATACAAAATGAAAAACTAACTGTACCCAAACCAAAAACAGAATTATTTAGAAAATCATTTAATTACTCTGGTCCTGTGGTATGGAACAGCATACCAATCCATATTCGAAATTCTGATACCATGAGGAAATTTCAATCCTCCTATATCCAGTGGCAATTTTCTAACTAATTGTTTGTATATATTGTTTCAAAAACATATACTTTCCATGATGTCACTTTTCTATGTAAGAAGAAAAAATTGTTTACTTATTTATTGTATTGATATGATGTTTAATGTACATATTTATGTTGTCTAAATGTTGATTGTGATTGTATTTTATGTTGTTTTGTATATACTGAGGCCCGCATGGAAGATCGGGAAACTGAATGTGTTAGCCTCATAAAATAAAGTCGTTACTTACTTACTTACTTACTTTGATCTACTGCCATTTCACAACTATTCTATAATTTACTGCCATTACACAGATACACTATGATATACAGCCAATACACAGCCTTTATTCTATAATACACTGCCATTTCACAACTATTCTATAATTTACTGCCATTACACAACTTTTTCTATGATACACTGCAATTACACAGCTACATTATAATATACTGCCATTACACAACTATTCTATAATTTACAGCCATTACACAACTTTTTCTATGATACACTGCAATTACACAGCTACACTATAATATACTGCCATTACACAGCTATTCTATAATTTACAGCCATTACACATCTTTTTCTATGATACACTGCAATTACACAGCTACACTATAATATACTGTCATTACACAGCTATTCTATAATTTACAGCCATTACACATCTTTTTCTATGATACACTGCAATTACACAGCTACACTATAATATATTGCCATTACACAACTATTCTATAATTTACAGCCATTACACATCTTTTTCTATGATACACTGCAATTACACAGCTACACTATAATATACTGCCATTTCACAACTATTCTATAATTTACAGCCATTACACAACTTTTTCTATGATACACTGTGTAATAATATACTGCCATTACACAGCTATTCTATAATTTACAGCCATTACACATCTTTTTCTATGATACACTGCCATTTCACAACTATTCTATAATTTACTGCCATTACACAACTTTTTCTATGATACACTGCAATTACACAGCTACACTATAATATACTGCCATTACACAACTATTCTATAATTAACAGCCATTACACAACTTTTTCTATGATACACTGCAATTACACAGCTACACTATAATATACTGCCATTACACAGCTATTCTATAATTTACAGCCATTACACATCTTTTTCTA